GCTGATGACTTTACATGCCAAAAATGGATGTTTTATACCTTTGAAAGGGCCCCAAGTGTCACAAGATAGTTGAAAAATCTATCAAATTTTGAAAATTAATCGAACATTTCGCAGGATCTTATGAACTTTTTTTGCAGCAGAATTTAAAGTTTTTTTTTACCCAGACCAGGGCTGAAATGGCAGAAAATCGTCGAAAAATTAACAAAAAACTTGCAATAAGTATTTGTGCTCATCTCTGATTCTGATTCCGTATTTTTGAAACCTGAAAAGCATAATTAGAAAAAAACATAATTTTAAAGTAACTGAATCGACAATTCTCTCAAACCATCCCTCGTGATGTGTCTAACTCGTTGATTGGGCTAATGTTTCTCGCTCATTTTGAGCACACGGAAATATTTGGAACAGTCCCCGGTGTTGCAAAAATTGATTGATGTGTCAAAGAAATTATCCTCGCCACACCAAAATAATTGCGCATTTCCTCCATCGCATTTGTAAAAGTAGTGACAATCCTCGGGATATGGGAAATTCCCCGTCGGCGATGGACAAGTGAAGGACGGATCCGCGGTCACTGGTGGTGCCGGTGTCACATCTTGAAAAAAAAAACGGTTAAAAATGTGTGTCAAAAATTTTTCCCGATAATTGCGTTCTCCAAGGAATTTACTTTTTTTTTGTTAACGAAGATCATAAACTAAACTCTTTCCTTCCGCGAGATTAATCCGAAAACTTCCGCTGAACCCAACCAGGAAACAAGAAACAGAACTAGCTAAAGTTTTCTTTTGATTGCAGGTGGATTTTCTTTAAAACGATCTTGTCTACAACGATTTTCTTCGTACAACGAATTTTTTAAGCTCCCGAGGGGCTCTTTCCCCAGTCCCATTTCAGAAGGTTCTTTACAACGAAATTCCCTTCGAAAATAATTTATCCTGGTTCCGTGAATTTCGTTGTGGTGAGAGTCCACCTGCACTAATTTTTTTTTTTTTTTTGGTCCTGCCTCCAATAAAATCAGTTCTGCTAATTCCTTTACTTCGGATGAATACAAATATTTAACAATACGAGAGGAAGTCTTAAATTCTTTATTTTCAGGCCAACCAATAATTTTCAAGGCCTCAATTAAAACTAAATTAATATCTTCGCTAATATCCGAATCAATGAATGATGATGCCGATTTTTGCCCCTTATTTTAAACCGTCTCCGAACGGAAAATTTGCTTTTTCTACGAGACGAACAAACCGTACATGTGAGTCCTGAAGAAGTTTCTTCACACTTGACGTTGAATTCAAAATCACACACATTTTGTATCGGATTGAACTGTTGATCTGGTGGACAATTTCCAATAAATGCAATAGAGTTTGCACACATGAAAAAACTTTCGCAGTCTTCTGGATTCGGGAAAATGCCATCCGGCGAAGGACACTGCAAAAAAAAAGAATAGAAAAAAGTAAATCAGAAAAGTTGGAGATCCTTTGAATATCGTCGTATTGTTTCTCTCGTCACAAAGTTTTCAATGCCGAGATTCTAGTCAATTCTTGCGATTTTTGAATCTTTACGGAAAGCAGACGAGAGATACAATATTTCAGTCTGCACGAAAACAATCGCTGAAACATTTTACAAAATCACCTGCTACTGGTTTGCAGGAATGACAATTCAGGTTGTGAAGAAATAGAAAAATCACGGTCAAGTCCTGGAGGACCTTATTGAGGAAAAAAATGCAGGAATTATTTTCCGCTTACATAACTTTATCGAGCTGAACTCCACCGTCATGATCACGGAAAAACCGTTCGCTGAACAACATGACTAAGCTGTTTTCAAGTTTATATAAACTATGACAAATTTAAATAAGAATACTTCTTCATCTGACTATTTTTTCTTAATTGAAGAACATTAGTTCTGTCAAACGACCGAGTTTTCGTCGGTCAATTCCTCACGATAAAAATATCGTCCTGAATTAGCGTCAATTTTGGCCTCGGCACACGGTCTCCACAATCCACATTCTCCGGGAAATCGCAGTAACCATGTTCAATGCTGAATAGGTAATTCCCGGGACAATCCATCAAAGTTGCCACGGAATTCCAGCAGGACCAAAACTTCCAACAAAATTCCGCATGAGGAAATTCTCCAGTAGGAGTCGGACAAGTGAACTCCTCCGGTCGCGACGTGGAACTTGAAACTGAATTTGTTCCAGTTACAAACCAGGTGACGCTCGAAGCGGTGTTCCGAACAGTAGTAGTTGTAGTCGATGTTGAGTTGTTCTCTGGTCGAGGAATCCTGTCTCCACAGTCCACGCGTTCGGGAAAATCGCAGTATTTGTTGGATGCGTCGAAGTGGTAGTTTTCCGGGCATTCCATGGGGTAAGCAATGCCATTTCCGCAAAGCCAGTACTTCCAGCAGTACTCGTCATTGGGATAAATGCCGTCTGGCTCGGGGCACGTGAAGTCTCCGCCTCCTTTAGGAGGGTTAAAAAAACACACAACGAATGAATTGCAAGAAGCTGAGCGAATTTAGTGCAATGAGAGAGAAGCGGAAAGATCTTCCATCATACGTTAAATTCTTACTTTTCAATAGAGCGGAATTCAAAGTGAACCATGGTATTTTTGCTCAAATGGTTTGGAATAAAGTTAGCGAAGTTTAAAAATATAATGAAATAAATTGTAAAACTTGAAATCTGAAGCTGTTGCAGTTTTGCAAGATCAAGACCATTTTCTCCTTTTTTCTGACCGAACAAGTGATCGTACAGTGCATACATTTTAACAAACAAAACGATGATCACACCCAATGGATACCGTGACAATTTGAATATAAAGAGAGCTCAGAATAAAAAGGTCAAGGTAGGTTTCTGTTCCATTTCATTTTATCAAAAACGTTCCCTCCCGGCAAGCTTAGTTAATTTTACGATGATTGGCAGAACATTGATTATCGATGAAGACCTTCACGCAGAAGAAATGAATAGATGGCTCAGTATCAGAAGATAGTGCAGAATACAAAGACCAAGGTTTTTCTTTGTGAATTTGATTTGACTAAAGAAGTTATTTCAATTAAGATCTAGTCTATAGCCAACATAACAATGATTGTCAGCTCTTTAATTGATTGTCCGTGAATTTTTACGTGGACAATAAAAAAAAACGTTCGCAGTTCAACATCATAGAGACTTTATGCATAAATCATTTAATTATACTGTAAAGCGTGAACAGAATAAGCACGGTGCATATATAATGTTATATCTTTTAATTCCTTCGATCAAAATGGACCTTTCACGTCTAGCTTAATTGATTTGAAGATGATTGGCAGAATATTGATTATCGACAAAGACCTTCACGCAGAAAAAATCATAAGCAGTACAGTATAATTCAGCATCTGAAGCTAGTGCAGAACTGCAGAAAAACATTCCCAATTTTTTTTCTTCCAATAATCTCTGTTGACTCAAAAATTTGCTTAAAGTTCTAGTCCACCCAACATCACAATGATCGCCAGCTATTTGATTTGAACATGATTGGCAGAATATTTATTATCGACAAAGACCTTCACGCAGAAAAAATCATATATAGTATAGTATAATTCGGCATCTGAAGCTAGTGCAGAACTGCAGAACAACATTCCCATTTTTTTTTCTTCCATAAATCTCTGTTGATTCAAAAATTTGCTTAAAGTTCTAGTCCACCCAACATCACAATGATCGCCAGCTATTTAATTGATTGTCCACGAAGAAATTCACGGACAAGGAAAACTTACGAAATCCAGTATCTGGAGCCCAGTTTAAGATAAACACCTTAAAAAAAAACGTTAGAAGCATCAGTAAAGACAGTGTAAGTCAATCATCCGAACCCCTCCTTCGCATCCCAACATGCTGCCTCTGCATTGGAGACACACACACACACAGCAAAAGTAACTCGATTTTACCCGACGACGTCTGAGTGCTGACGGTAGTGCTGGTGACAGTAACCCATGTCTCCAGCTCGCCACAGTCGACGTCCGCCTTGCAAACCTGGGCCTGGACGTCGAAATAAAGCGGGTTCGGGCAAGAGAGCAGGAACGCGGTATCCCCGATGCACTCGTAGTAGAAGAAGCACTTGTGCTCGTGTGGGTACAGCGGTGGGCTGCTGCTCGGGCACACAAACCCCTCCGCGGCTATACGCAACAATAATAAGTACACATACAATTCGCCTCGGGGGAGGGTTCCGACTGCAAATCGTGACTCCCATAAAAGGCCCTGCTTACCGATCACAGGCAGCAGGAGTAGCAGTGAGACTCCTGCGACGGCTTTCAGCATCATCGATTCCTCCGAGCGACTGTATCCCTCCTTAATCGATGCAGCTATTACGTTGCCGACGGATTCTTCGTCTTCCGAAAAAGAGGGGGAAAAAAAGGGAAAGAGCGACAGATAAAAGATATAGCCGCAACCTGAGGGATGAACACGGAAATCGATACCAGTTGCCGACTTCTTCCACGGAAATTTAAGCAGAATTCCACGGGGTAGTCTCAAACAACGAATTTCTAGAACAATGCAGCGATACCAATATGTTCGTGGAGCATAATACATTCGACACGTGCGATTATTCCCACAATCGATGTTAAAAATGAATTACCGGAACGTTTATTCTTTGATGTCTTCGATGGGCTACAATCATTCATTGTCCTTGAAAAAAAAATTGCCAAGACCCAAGAGAAATCTAATTTACCCATTATACTGTATTTATGCATACCAACATATAGAGAACCCGAAATACTGTACAAGAATAAATGGGGTTTCCTTTTGAAGCATCACCGTAATAAATTTCTGAATAAGTTTCACTGCAAAAAAAATATGACACATCTGGGGTACCAAAAACTAAATTAATTTTATGCAGGCTCAAACTTGAAGATAATGATCTGGATTGGATTCCATTAACAAACAAAAAATAATTTATGGCATCGATGGAGGTTCTAAAAAATCACTACAACGGAGAAAAAAATCGGTAAATTTATATGTCTACTGCACAAATTTTTTTTTCTTATCGCGGGAGCTTAAAATACTGATATACAGTATTCCGAAGATGTTCAGTAATGAACATTTTTGAACTTCCTTCTGATTCAACACGTGTTTAAGCAGCTCTTCTACACTTTATTTTTTGATAACCAAATATTTTTTAATTCCCTGTGTATCATTTTCGACACAGTCGGTCTTCGATGTTCATTACTTGCTGCATCAAAAGTGGACAATAAAAAAAATCCACTACTGAATACAGTAATGTATATTCAAAAATTCATGAATTCAAAACATCTGAATGAATAGCTCGTAAATTTCGTAGCTTGCTGTTTATTTTGAATTTTGATTGAAAACGCTTAGGATTGAAATATCCACGTAAAAAATAAATCAATTTATCGTGGCGTATCGAAACATAGAATTGCATGTTTCAAGCTATCCAACTTGACATCCGCATAATATAAATTAATCTGTGAATCATAAAAATTATGACGAATGAAGAGATTATTATCAAGAATTAAAAATACTAAATGGGCATTTCACTGGCGAAATATCATCGAAACATTGAGCGAGAGAAATGCACATCGAAAGCATTTTCCACGCGAAAATGCCGGGACCTCAGAAGCACAGGATTGATTATATAGAGCAGATTGGAAGCTGCGCTTGATTTCATGCCTCGGATGACATGGATGAAGAGATAATCCAAGGATGTGCGTTTCTCCTCATAAATCCTCGAATCGTACGTAGATGCTTTTTATCTACGTGACTCGGGCAGCACTATAGTAAATATATTATGGTTCCTGCTCACTTTCCGCGCAGAAACACATACAATACTTGAGTTTTTCTGCGACAGCAGCTGCTTTTTTCATTATCTTTGACATTTCAGTGGGATTTTGCGAGAAGGTCAGTGGGGTGATGCGAGTGAATCTCTTTCTTAATAGCTGAACTTGGTAATTTTAATGCCTGATCTTTCCTACCTGAAACACAAAAAAAAAAAAATTGATGTACCACGCAAAATATCGGTAATTTCCAACATTTTTATTTTATTTTCAGAAGGATCTTTTTCAGCGAAAGACGGGGACAAGTAAATTACATTAAAATTCATAATGCATGCGAAAAAATGAGAATATTGAAGCTTCGATATCTTAAAATCACGCCCTGGTTCAAAGAAAAATAAATCTAATCTACTGTCCAAATGGGATGAATTTCGGGGAAACAGTTTGTCCCTGTCATGGTATTGAAGAATAGGGAATATTTTATTCGAAGATAACACAGAACCTAATCTTGATCCTTGCTTTACTTTGTGACTAAGATTAGTATCGAGTTCGCCTCGATTTCAAAGATTGAAAACAATTTCAGAAAGGGAAACTTATGTTCTGTCAATAAAATTCCGAATTACTAGATTCGTTGTTTTACTGAAAAACAAGGCAACAGGAGAACCAATTCATCGCCATGGAACACTTATACCGCACCAGGATGAATATTATAGTTTAATCCGCGTAGTAGACCTAAAATCAGATATATAGTACAGTCCTGTACTACAGTTGCCAATCATGGACAACGAAAATGTCTAAGTCTCTAAGATCTCGCCACACTTGATATTCGATCAGTACTGACTTGTCAGACAGAAATCGAAAAGCGCTCCACGGCATCACAAGCAATTGCTGTCACTGACTGACTGAAGGTTCAAACCCAACCAACCCTTCCAAGACATTTAAAATATTTTGTAGATTGTACCAATTTTAAGACCCAGTATGAACGTACAACCATATGTCGTTGAGCACTTGCTATTCAGGGCATTTTGACAAAAGGGATTCAACTCTGCTTCATTTCATATAAAATTCTTGGAAATACCTGTCGAGAGATATTCTTAATTGAATAATTGTGAGAAAGATTTGGATTAAATGCCAATATGGAAGAAATACTTGGAAAGAAAATATGGTAGTCTCCTTGAACTCCTCTTGACTGTCCCAAAGAGATTGTTTGACAAGGAATGCTGTACAATATTAGAACTTTAGCACAGACGCGGAGAGCCACAAAAATGTCAAATACAGTGAAGAAAATCTTGCATTTGATGGTGCTTTGCAACTTGACTGCTTCACAATGCAACCCTGGAACAGCAATGGATTTGGGTCAAATTCCAGGGCACCACCTGTTTGTGGCTTTGGGGGGTTTGCGTTATCCAGGTTCAACTGTAATACAGTGAGACCCCAAGATGCGGACGTAATTGGTGTATCAAGAGTGTCCCCAAGTCGAAATGTCCCTAAGTCAAATCTTGTTTTCCCATAGACTTACATTGTATAATTTTTAATTGGTGTTTTATGGAAGAAATATACAGGAGTAGCAGTGAGACTCCTGCGACGGCTTTCAGCATCATCGATTCCTCCGAGCGACTGTATCCCTCCTTAATCGATGCAGCTATTACGTTGCCGACGGATTCTTCGTCTTCCGAAAAAGAGGGGAAAAAAAGGGAAAGAGCGACAGATAAAAGATATAGCCGCAACCTGAGGGATGAACACGGAAATCGATACCAGTTGCCGACTTCTTCCACGAAAATCTAAGCAGAATTCCACGGGGTAGTCTCAAACAACGAATTTCTAGAACAATGCAGCAATACCAATATGTTCGTGGAGCATAATACATTCGACACGTGCGATTATTCCCACAATCGATGTTAAAAATGAATTACCGGAACGTTTATTCTTTGATGTCTTTGATGGGCTACAATTATTCATTGTCCTTGAAAAGAACATTGCTAAAGCGCAAAACAAATCGAATTTACCCCATTATACTGTATTTATCTATAACACTATAGAGAACCCGAAAATACTAGAAAAAATGGCATCACCGTAATATATTTCTGAATAAGTTTCTCTGGAAAAAAAATGACACATCTGGGGTACCAAAAACTAAATTAATTTTATGCAGGCTCAAACTTGAAGATAATGATCTGGATTGGATTCCATTAACAAACAAAAAATAATTTATGGCATCGATGGAGGTTCTAAAAAATCACTACAACGGAGAAAAAAATCGGTAAATTTATATGTCTACTGCACAAATTTTTTTTTCTTATCGCGGGAGCTTAAAATACTGATATACAGTATTCCGAAGATGTTCAGTAATGAACATTTTTGAACTTCCTTCTGATTCAACACGTGTTTAAGCAGCTCTTCTACACTTTATTTTTTGATAACCAAATATTTTTTAATTCCCTGTGTATCATTTTCGACACAGTCGGTCTTCGATGTTCATTACTTGCTGCATCAAAAGTGGACAATAAAAAAAATCCACTACTGAATACAGTAATGTATATTCAAAAATTCATGAATTCAAAACATCTGAATGAATAGCTCGTAAATTTCGTAGCTTGCTGTTTATTTTGAATTTTGATTGAAAACGCTTAGGATTGAAATATCCACGTAAAAAATAAATCAATTTATCGTGGCGTATCGAAACATAGAATTGCATGTTTCAAGCTATCCAACTTGACATCCGCATAATATAAATTAATCTGTGAATCATAAAAATTATGACGAATGAAGAGATTATTATCAAGAATTAAAAATACTAAATGGGCATTTCACTGGCGAAATATCATCGAAACATTGAGCGAGAGAAATGCACATCGAAAGCATTTTCCACGCGAAAATGCCGGGACCTCAGAAGCACAGGATTGATTATATAGAGCAGATTGGAAGCTGCGCTTGATTTCATGCCTCGGATGACATGGATGAAGAGATAATCCAAGGATGTGCGTTTCTCCTCATAAATCCTCGAATCGTACGTAGATGCTTTTTATCTACGTGACTCGGGCAGCACTATAGTAAATATATTATGGTTCCTGCTCACTTTCCGCGCAGAAACACATACAATACTTGAGTTTTTCTGCGACAGCAGCTGCTTTTTTCATTATCTTTGACATTTCAGTGGGATTTTGCGAGAAGGTCAGTGGGGTGATGCGAGTGAATCTCTTTCTTAATAGCTGAACTTGGTAATTTTAATGCCTGATCTTTCCTACCTGAAACA